ATCCTTCTTTTTGTATGGTGACCATATACTACTCGCATATTCAATATGTGGTCTCACTAAAGCTTTGAATAATAAACAGAATGATTTATTATCAAGGTGAATAAATGCTCTTCTTATTAGGCCACAAATCTGGTTAGCTTTGTTCACTTGCGCTAAGATTGCTATTAATTGTTACTCCAATATCTTTTTCATTCTCCACATTCTCTAGTGTTGTATCACCTCCTTCATAATTTCTCATACTATACTGGATACTATCACACGTTTTGCTACTGTTGTGTATTTGAATTACTTTGCATTTATCAGGGTGAAATTTTAAAAGCCAAGTTTTGCTCCACATGAAAAGTTTGTCCAGGTCAGATTGCCCTACTTTAATATCGTTTTCATCTGTGATTTCTTTGAATATTTTCGTGTCGTCTGCGAAGAGGAATACAACTGACTCAACACATTCTGGTAAGTCATTTATAAAAATCACAAACAGTACAGGCCCGAGCACAGATCCTTGTGGAATTCCATTTGTGACTTTGTGCCATTTCGATTTTTGTCCATTTACTTGTACACACTGCTTTCGTCCACTAAGGAAATGTTCGACCCATGTACATAGTCGTTCACATATCCCATAAACTCTCATCTTTGTCAGAAGTCTAAAGACTTGGAACCTTATCAAATGCTTTCATAAAATCCATATAAACTGCATTAAAAACGCCTCCTCTATCCAGGATTTCAGTCCATTTATCGAGTACTGTAATTAATTGTAAGGTTGTTGATCTCCCACTCAGGAATCCGAATTGCTTGTCACTAAATAAATCTAAGCTGTCCATATGCTTGATTATTCTCCTCCTAATAATCTTCTCCATCATCTTGCATAGTATGCTTGTTAAGCTGACAGGTCTGTAGTTTGATGCCGACTTCTTGTCACCTTTCTTAAATAAAGCTGTAATTATGGCTACTTTCCAGCTATCTGGTACTATTCCTGTTTCTAGTGATTTCTTATAGATCAAATATAAAGGTCTATCAATTACTACATTCAATTCATATAGAACTTTTGGGTGTGCCTTATCTGGTCCTGGGGACTTAGTAGTGTTTAGATCTTCACCTCTTCTTGAGTAATCGGCTCATCATCAGTTGACCTTGTATTTTCAATTGTTATATCGACTAGTGGTAAAGAGTTCACATCTTCTTCTGTAAAAACACTACTAAAAAGTTCGCCAACACCTCTGCCTTGTCCTGATCCTTACTTGCCACAAATGTCCCTTCGGATGTTTTTGTGCAATTCTGAAACACCACTTTTGCTCTTCCTTTTGGAGTTAACATACTTCCAGAAGTTTTTATTGTTAGTCTTTGCCGATTCTGCTACTTGTCTCTCTTTCCCCTTCCTTTCTTTGTGATCTCTTGACTTTGTTTCGGGCTTTACAATATTCTACATGCTTTTCTTTGCTTCGGTCTTCCATATATCTCTCCCATAGTCTGTGTTCTCTTTTTATGCTCCTGACTGTGTTTTTGCTCAGTGGAATGTTTCCCTTTGTGTTTCTAAGTTTGCTTTTGGGGATAAACTTTTTTACTGCATTATCAAATCTGTTAATAAACTTTTCCAACATAGTGTTTACATCATCAGCTTCCATAATATAATCCCAACCGATGTCTAACTCTTTGCGCATTCCTTCATAATTTTCTTTATAATAGTTCAATCTCTCACAGTTGGTATTTTCATACTTGAAGTAGAAACTGTATTTGAATTTTATCACACTGTGGTCACAAGATCCTAATGGGTCTAAGTATTCTATATCACCAATGTTGTTACAGTCATTCACTAGTATAAGGTCCAATAAAGAGCTTTTCTGACCGTGTCTGTGTCGGGTATTTTTATTTATCATCTGATGCAGGTAAATGTCTCTGATACATTCCAGAAATTCTGCACAGTTGTCATCTCTTGTACTCCATGAAGACCAATCCATGTCTGGAAAGTTAAAATCTCCCAAAATAAGGAGATGTGAAAATTTAAGGTCACAGGCTTTGCCTATTAGTTCATTCAATGCCTTTATATTGAGTTCCGATGAAGATGGGCATCCCATTAATAATTTGTTATTTCCATCTAAGTTGATCTTAATCCATTTGTATGTAAGCATAGGCTTTTTTTTGCGTAAATTATAGATTTTGCTCCTTGAAAATTTCCCTTCATCCGGCAAATCAATCTGCTTTGTTGACAGCATATCTCATGTTTTTAGGTATCTTTTGAAATAATATCTGGTAATTATTTACACAGCTATTTACATTAGCATTTACTTTGTCTTTTAGTCTCCCTGTTTTATTCTGATTTTCACAATCTTTCTCTCATGTGCACCTTTTACAATAACTTCACTTTTCCCGATTTTTCCTTTTCGTTTAAAGCTTTTGCTTCGAGCACCTTTTCCCTGTTCTTGTCCCTCTCAGCTTTTGACATGTCATGTGTAACGCTCAAGTTTCTAAGCTTACTTTGTGCTGGGATGTTTTTTAGCTTCGACAAATTTCTCATGACGTTTTGTTTGCTCTCAACATTCATCAATGTTACCTTGACTGGTCTTGCTAAGAATGCCTCCCCAGATGACTCACTATCCTCTGGTGTCTTCTTTTTACCAAGACGAACCACATTCTTTATACTGACTGGATATACTTCAATGGCCTTGAATAAATCAAGTAATACATTTGTATCAAATTCTTTTCTTTCAAAAGCTTCTTTCCCCTCAGACTCCTCTATGCCATATATGATAATCTTTTTTTCTCTCACTGCACTGTCTCTTAGCTCAGTCACCTTACTATTTATTGACTCCTCGATGGCTTCACTAATTTTGCTTGTCATTTCTGTATGTTCCTGGGAGGATAAAGCTTCAGCAATCATGCTCTCCACTTTCGAAACGCTGGGTTACTCCTGCATATCTGTCTCTATTTTCATCATTCGATCCTCCATAATTTTGAAAAATGTTTTGCATATTGCTTCAATTTCTTGATCTACCCGTAAGTTTTTCATCACTTTCGTTTCACAGTTCGAACAGAACCAGTGTAGCACTTGAGTGTTAAAGCTGTCATACTCTTTATCAGAGAGTTCCAGACACGTAATAATAATAATACTTGTTACAGTACTCACATTGTACCACTTTGTCATCATCTTTCATGAATATCTGTGTACACACTTCACATTTCCAGTTTTCCTTTCCTTTCTTGGATCCTTTACCTTTATTTGCTGATGAAGAAGATGATCTTTGTTTCTTTACTTCTTCTGCACCGTCCTTATTTGTGAATGGCATTTTCTATATATAAATTTTGCCCCAAAGTGTCACAAAGGATTTCTTTATGACGTACCTCTAGAAATTTTCCCAAGATGGTGGCCGTGAGTTATATACTCATTTTAGATGTTCCCTAATCAAAAACATACATCTAATTTATGCTCTAAACCACTGCAAATTCACTAAATAACTTCCCTTAAATTTTTTTGCGCGTCCATTCGACCGGAACCGGAAGTCTTTTTTTTTGTGATAAACTATATAACATATTATTTTTTTAATCTTCAATAAATGAAATAAAAAATACAGAATCCATTTATCCGTCGTGCATGTGAACAATTACAACGATCGGAATTTATTTATTTTTTTTTTAATTTTCTGGCCAACAATTTCCAAAATATTCAATATTTTTGATTGTTCGTATGTTAACAAAATTTTATCGTTAAAAAGATGTCTCCTCAGAATCGATCACTAATAATTATCTTCACCTTTACATTAATATAGACAGACGCTAGAGGAAATTCGAGCATTAATTCTGACATAAATTTCTGTGCTACTTCGTGCAGATTGTAGCCTTTGTATATGATAAAACATCTTTTGTAAACTATATGCCGTTAATGCTGAATATTTTTCTTTTATCCCATTTCATAAAAAATAATTTTAATCATCGGACGTCCAGTTACGGCAAATTGAGCCGGTTTCTGTGTACGGTCTTTTTTTCTACAGGTATCGTGGACGATATAACACTTACAGGTAACAAACAGCAGTGAAGATAGAAAAGAAATATTTTATGATGTCAATGTTTTAATAATATACGTCCTTTCAATTATTTTTTGAAATAAAATTCAAACATATGGAGTTTTCTAACCCGCGTGTATACAAGGCGGGTACATGAAAGAGTTTGGCGCGCGATAAGGCAATTGTCTTCGAAAACATGCAAACTCAGATTATCAGGTAGCACAGGTAGTTGATCTGTCAATCAAATCAGAAGCTATTGTTTTTTTTTAATGATTGACAGGCGGTAAATTATTGATCTTGAATCAGGTAGATTTTGAGGCGTTAACATAAAATTGGATGTTTAAGAATTTGTATTTTATTAATTTTTCGAAACAATTACTGTAAGTATAACACCTTTCGATCAATCAAACTATTGCATTTTTATACTTTTTGTAACAATCAGAATATTTTCTACATTGTTTGATTACATACATGTATTCAAGCGTAGTATATGTGCACTAATATGCAAGTGTGATAACTATATTTTGTATGTTTCTAGTTTCATCCAATGAGTAAAATTCAAGGCTCAAACATTTCATATTTCTGATTCAAAATTAATCTTATAACTTTTGTTTCATTTGTCCATTGAGATTGAACATTTGAAATAATTCATAAATTTTCATTTAATATCTTTGTTTATCAAACATCCTATTGTCTTCATAAATGTTTACCTCATCATGGTCAAGCGAGTTCACCACTTTAGTTAATTTTCCCCACCTTTGTAGATTATTTTGTAGAGTATTTGTTCATTTGTTTTTATATGATATTATGTGCACATGAGAATCATTGGTTTTATGTAATGTGGTCACTAAACATCTTAACTCTAAGGTATTGTTGCACAGTGTTTTCCAAGTGCAAAGACTCATTGTTTCATTACTTATGTTTTTATATGTCACATAATATCGTCACTTTTTGCTGGAAACTCATCAATAAACGACGTAAACTTTATTCAGAGCCTTGGTCATCTTTTTCAGAGTTATCACCCATGACAACGCAAAAATCTTGGTGATATATAAATAAATAAATACAAATTGGGTGGTTTTCAGAACACTTTAATATAAATTATTAATTTAAATATACAATTAATTTTAATTAGTATGCATGATGTTTGGTATAGTATTTAACCAAAATTTCATTCTCTCTGCCTCGTACTTATTTAGGGATGTCAGATTAGCGTAGTTGAGTTGTAGATAGGTTTGCATGCTAGGATCAAACTGGGGCCATTTTGGAAGTCCTGATCCGTTCGGGTCGCTGGAAAGTTAAACAAAAACACACTGTATTTGCATCATAATATTATTTCTACAAACAAGTAGACAGAAAAATAGTTTTTTTTATGTTTAAAAAAGAGCAAAACAGAATATTAAAAAGAATATTTGTATTGAAAACCCCACTCTTCATACACCCGATACTTTACAATTGCAAATACTGACGAAGAGCACATAGGTTGCCTTGTAAACACTAAACTTTTAATAACTTTAGTAAGATGGGAAAAAGCTTACCCTGTTTTGGCAAAATTAGTCCAAAGATCTTTCATTATTAAAGCCAGTTTAAATTCGTCTTCTGTAACATCTATGTGTCGATAATGAAGATCTTCTATTCCAAAGAGGAATGGTAGCTCTGATGCGTGTCCAGAACCTCTGTACCATGCAGGTCTTGGAGCACCGTAAGGCAATGGGGTCTTGTTGTTAAACAAATACTGAAATGTGTTTGTGGTTTTATAAGTTTTACTGTTGGAGTGAGCAAATAAAGATGAAAATGTCGGAGAAATAAAGAATAAGTCTGTATACATTTGGAGAACTTGTCTGCTTTGTTCATCAGGATCATTATTTACTTTATATTCTTCGCAAATAGCTTTGGAAACTTTGGCATTAGAGTCAAAATAAGTTCGCACAATGGCAGGAATGAAGTTATCACAAAAGAATTCCTGAGGGATCCCGGTGCTTATATTAAAGCCATATCTGTCCTGTTCTTCGGGGGTCATTGCTAAATATAACGACCCCTCCATATTACAATTACCAATGATCATGTCTAATGATTTAAAGAAAGCGAGTTCATCCGATGAAGGATTAGATAGAAGTTTAGATGGGAAGTCATTGAATAATTCTCCGTCAATTACTGGTGCAAAGGGTATTTCAATCGTCAAGGAAGATATCAAAAAATAAGTTTCAAAGATATTTAAAACTTTGAAAATTTCATCAACTGATTTGGATCTCAGGCAGTAGAGAACTGTTTTAAAATTTCTCGTTATTGGGTCGTACACACATCCCAGAGCATCTCCCAGGGCAGTAGCCGTGAGTTTGGCATGCTGAGATAACGATAGGAAAGTATCAGACACTCCACTCTCGGCTATTACTCTGTGGAAAAGTCCCTTGTTCCTAGGAATCAACGATAAAAGCGACACACTAAATCCACCTGCAGATTCTCCGAAAATTGTGATGGACGAGGGATCACCCGAATAATCTTCAATATTATCCTGCACCCATTTTAAGGCCAGCATTTGGTCCCATAATCCGTAATTACCCCTGGCGATGGTTTCATTGTAGGATAGGAAGCCAAAGATACCGAGACGGTAGTTGATGGTGACCACCACAACGTCACCCTGAGCTGCCAGCATCGTGCCATTGTAAAGCGTGCCCGATCCGTAATTATACGTCCCACCGTGAATCCAGACCATAACGCTTCTCTTTTCTGACGTAAAGTTATTAGGTACATAGATGTTTAACTGAAGACAGTCTTCGGAGAGACTCTTAAAGGTCCTTTTATTGAAAGGATCCGGCGCCTGAATACAGGCGTTTCCTAATTTTGTGGCATCCAGTACCCCATCCCATCGTCCATATGGCTCTGGTTTAGCAAACCTTAGAGCACCAACTGGGGCCTTGGCGTAGGGGATATTAAGGAAGCTGAATACCTTGGTTGTACCATTATTGACCGTTTTCACAGTGCCTGTCAAGTCCCCAAGTCTTGAACCGATTGTGTATGGCTGCTGTCCTAAAGCAAGGTCGCTTAGAAACACAACCACTGCTATAGACAAACTGATTTGAAACCCTCTCTGCAAAGCAACACGATTAAAATATTGTTAAGAAATGTACTATGAAATTTAAAGGTAAATATCCAAGTTGCAAATATGACATGTTTTAAATAATATAGTCTGCATACATATGATGCTTTGTAGGTAAATATACTCAATAAAAAAAGAAACGAATACCGGTATTCAGATTAAATATGAAAATCTGAGTTTTCAGTTTAACCTTATTTTATTTAAGCGATTTTAGAGTGTGTTGTGATTAAAATCAAACATGTCCTATGTTGCGAATTGAAAAGTCAAGTTGATGTCATTTCCATCGCCCCAAAATTCAAGGGTCATAACAATATGTTCTGCGCGACGTCTCAGTGCTGGTAGGTTTCCAATGTACGGATGTCGTGGATGAATACCAGCTCCTCTCACTCTCTTGCAAACATTTTGTGCACTTTATGCTGATTTCTTCAACCAGCAATTGTAGCAGCAGTTTGTGCAGCAATTCTTAATCGATTGCTGAAGGGGGGGGTCTGACGGTCCTGTCTGGGTGTGGTAACCCGTTGACGGCCAGTTCTTGGTCTGTTATCCGTGTTCTTAGTTGGTGGTGACGAACGTTAAACCCTGCAAAGCCGATTGATGTACACTAATGCAGTTGCAACCTCCTGTTGCATAGCTCCGGTTATCATCATAGTTAGCCTGCGTTGCGTTCATCTTTGTTAAGGCATGACGTTGCAACATTGTTATCAAATCTCAAATATGGGTTTAACAGGAGTGTTTATAGTTTATCTAAATCCATAATATCAAAGAAAATAGATCCCCAGTTTACAAGAAATAATGAAAAACTCTATTTTCATAAACATGATTATTCAAGGGAAATAACTCAACACTTGGATTTTAAAACCCCAGGTTGTCCTTTAAATAGATCACATGTATCCACTGATAAAAAAAGTCGTTGTTCCATATACTTTTTCAAAATTTCTTTGTTGAGTAAAACAATATGCGTTTCTTTTTTTGTTGAGTATATATGGGATATTCTTAAGGAGCAAATTAAATAATACATTTAATTTGATACTCATATGATACTCATCTCGACCTTTGCATTTACTAGCTGCAGAACTGTAGTTCTCTACTTGAGAAAATTCGGACAAATAAAGCAGAGAGCTACAGATCCAAGCGTTGTAAAAACCTTCGATTTACGCCGACGATTTTTTGTCGCTCACTATGGGTATTTTTTCGTGTATTTTATACTTTCCCCAGCTTTGAAAATAATTTTGAATGGTATTTGATAATAAATCATACATTCAACTTCAACTCCTGATCATTGAATTACCTCTCAACGCTAACAAATGGCTGTTTGTGGTTACGGACGTCAAAATGGAACTCTTTTAAATCGACATTACAAAACTATATTCAGGCTTGTTTTGAACCATTAAAAGGTAAACAAAGTATCAAATATAAGAGTTAAATATATGAATTGTTATCGGATACCATTCTAAAAGCCAGAGAAAGCTTTAACTACGCGAAATAAATACCTAAAGTAGCGACAAAAATTTCGTCGGCGTAAATCGAAGGTTTTTACAACGCTTGGATCTGTAGCTCTCTGCTTTATTTGTCCGAATTTTCTCAAACAGAGAGCTACAGTTCTGCAGCTATGCATTTACGTATTAGTATAGGAGTATTACAAACTAAATGTCTACATATGACTATTAATTTAAACTTGTTTGACCACCACGCATTTCTTTGGAGCCTCAAGCTCATGAAATGCTTTATTTCTATTTTAAAAATATTTTATTTCTTACAAGAAATGCATTAATGAATAATAATTATACTGAAAAAAAAACTTACTTGCATGGTTTAGATTATCTTAATGATGGCATCTATCAACAAAGGTTGCATGTATCAACAAATGTCCATTGATAACATTGTGAAATGAATGTCGAAATACGGGATATTAGGGACGACAAGATATAAAAGTATTATACGTTGTTTGTTAATAGAATTTGTTTTGTCTGATGTAACCGTATCCGTGTCCGTACCCGTGGTTTCAAGGAGCTTGAGAATTGACTATATATGTACAATATCCGTGAGTGTTGCGTTTTAACGCTGTATTTGTTAAACTTGATTGATTAAACACTTGTCGATAAAGGGGGAGGAAAATAATTGTTAGGTTATGATGTATTTTCCTCTCTTAAACTATTCTTTTTGCATATTAACTTCTTTTCATGAAAGTTACATCATGGAGTTTTTAGTAAACAAAGCTCTGAAAAATCTGATATTTTACCCTTAAATACTATTGTGTGTGTGTGGGGGGGGGGCAGGGGGTTTATCCCCCCCCCACACACACACCCTCACACACGTGTTTGGACTTCGATCTGGGGACCCTGCCATAACATCTTCAAATGGGGACTAAGCGATTTCGTGGCAGAATTGGCATTATTTAACTCATTTTACCCCTTATGTATCCTGGAATAAGTAAATAGACTGAGACTTTGAGCTAGAATGATATATCCGTGAATTTAGAAAACGGGGACCCGGAAGTGCCAATATGGGGACCTCTGTGTAAAGGTAGGGGACCCAACTTCTCATAAGCTTACAGAATTGGGGACCTTTACTCAGTCCCTCATACACAAAGAACAGAAATGGGGACATATTTATAAATGAAAGTTTGGAAGATGGTTGGACATGTTTATTTATTTATTCAGGCGCGGATTCAGGGATTTCTCAATGTGGGAAAGGGAATTATCCTTAGTCCAAAAATTTCCAATCCAGAAATTCCTTAATTAGCAATAACAAATGAAAATAAAAAAGAAAAAAAAAACATGTAATATCATTTCCAAAACGTGTAAAAATAATCTACTTCGAGGCGCTGTTGGTGGGGTATACGTTTTTTGAGGGATGAGGTGGATGTGTTCCAAAGACATTTTTTTGCTTCACTATATATATATATATATATATATATATATATATATATATATATATATATATATATATATATATATATATATATATATATATATACATTTAATTACCGGTACTCTGCAATTTCCAGGAGAGGGGGTGGTTCCGAGCCCCCAGCCATCCGCTAGAACTGCACATGTTATTCAATTTTTGACGGCTTTTGTTCGTGTTATTTATCACTGAGCAAATTTTACATTCTTGAATTAATAGACTTTTTAACATTTATCTCTTAAATTCTTTAATCTTTTTTTTTACTATGTGCTTCTTTGTAATTGATTAATTAATGTCTTATTTATCTCATTCCCTTTCATATAGGATTAAGACATTCCAACTGACACGCAGTGACTCTGTCAAAATAAGTGTTACTCTTTAGTTGTTAATACCTCGGGATCCTGTATCAATAACGTTACTTTAAACATATTTTTATTGAATAATTCAATAAGGATTGGGCAAAAGGCAAGGCCTATGTACACCGTCTCCTTGTATAATAGGTCAAGTTACAGATATTAAATAATAATACTTGTACACGATATAATCAATAAAATTATATTGAAAAATTAAGATTCACAATCAAGTATTATTTATCAGTGTAATATTTCAAAAAGATGACAACCCCCTAACTGTATACATATTATTTACATACTGTTCCATCTTAAAATAATACAAATATTTGGAAAAAAAATATGCATTTAATAGAGTACATGTATTTAATATAACAGTGTTCCTAATTTAGTCTTTTAGAAGATTTAATAAATTCTTGTACATATGAAAATATTTTACAATTTGTTTGATAAGAGTATTGACATTTTCCTCTTAGCAGATAGTCGAGTTCAAAAACAACATCAATATCATTTAATTTTTTTACCAATAAAGAAGATGGGTGAATAAGGCGAGCAGAATGCCTATAGTGCGACAGATAAGAAGTGAAAATTTTAATCTCAATTGAATCCAAATTTTACTTGATATTTCATCTAATATTAAAGTACACTTTATGTAAAATCTCTACAATTTACAAAAATCTCACAAAGACTGAAAATATTTGCCTATGAAAATACTTACACACACTAAAAAGATCAAAAAACGATCATTTTCTCATACTTAAACAAAATTTTTCAATATGGGTGGGTCTTCTCTCCATTTTTTTGAAAGATGATCCTAAAAGTGTGCTATAAAATACACATTTTTTGGTTTTCAAAAACATGGAGCGAAGACCCACTATGCCTTAAAAGTACAATTTTATGACACAACATTAGCATCTTTCCGAGAAATACTTCTAGTCCATTAAGTTGTGGGTCATATCACAAACATGATTTAAATGCCTAAAATCAACATGAGCGGTGTAGCATAGCGCATAAGGCGTTAGTCTCAAAGCAGTATGCTACTGAAACGTCGGATTTTTATTGCTAGGGTTCGAATCCCACTAATACTATCTAATAATTTTATGAAAGAAAATTCTTTACGAGATTTTTTCTCCCTCAGAATAGTTTTTTTTCCTCATGATTTCAAAAATTTCAATAATTAGAAGTTAATTTAAATAATCAATTCACATATTTAATATGATTTCTTGATATCTGACGCTATAGGCATTCTGCCCGCCTTGTTCACCCATCTTCTTTCTTTCAACATTATATATGATGGGCAGTTGATAAGATAATGTTCAGTATCTTCAGTATGAAATCCACAATTTTGACATGATTGAATATCTGATAAAAAATGATTTTTAAATGTGCATTAAGATTACTAGCATTGTTTCGCAATGCAAGATATTTTCTTTTCTATTACCAAAGTTAAAGTACCTACAAGGTTTATTAGTTGCTCCCCAATTTTTAAGTTTTGCTTTAAAAATAGGTAACGAAGGAGAGTTTTTTACATCTTCACTAAGACTGTTCCAAAGTTTTATGGTTGAGGGAATAAAACTATTGTAGTACGACATTGTTTTACTTAAACAATAAAATGCTTTCTTTGTTTGTTATTACTGGAATGAACGGAAGCAGCTGTTGCAGAAAAAATACATAACCCGCGTAAGCGGGTTATGTAAATTTTTTCTGCAATAGCTGCGACCGTTCATTCCAGTAATAACAAACAAAGAAAGACATTTTATTGTTTATATTTATATCTGTTTAAATTATCATTTTAAGTAGGATTAAAAACATTAATTATTGTGTTAAAGATGCGAACGTCTTTGTACGTTTTATTGATGGAACGTTCCGGGTTGCAATTACTGAAAGATATTTCATATATTTTAGCTACTTAGTTGTTTCTTTTCCATTTTGTTACGAATCTAAGTTAGCCCGGAACCAAAAATTATCCTCATAATAAACGTTCCGAGTTGCAATTAATCAATGAAAGATATTTCATATATTTTAGCTACTTAGTTGTTTGTTTTCCATTTTGTTGCGAAGCTAAGTTAGTCCGGAACCAAAAATTATGCTCATAATAAACGTTCCGGGTTGCAATTACTGAACTTCCTATTTCAAGTTACCATCATGTGTAGATGTAGAGGGGGTGGGGGTGTTAACTCCCCTTAGTTATTTAAAGAATTTAGTTAAAACAATCGAATTACATTTTGATCCACTCGCATACTCGCTACCTTTAGTGTAGCTACTAGCGAGTATGCGAGCAAATCTAGCATCTAAAACCATATTCGAATACATGTTTTGTATAATCATATATGTGACCCCCCCCCCTCCCCCCCAAAAAAAATCAGGTTTGGAGACGATTAAAGATTTTATTTTCTTTGTTTATTAGGAACATTTCTGAGTTAGTACTTCTTTATTGGATGTATCCCTATTACTTTTTTTAGAAGCATGTTTGAATTTAAGACTGATATGTTTAAGTATTTTTTTTTTTTAAATTCATTTTAATCGATTTCTTTTGCATACATATATCTTTAGCAGATTAGTCCATTTTTATCCAAGTTTTGTGTAAAAAAAAATTAATATAATAGAGTTATTTGTGTACAATCTAGTTTACATTTAGCAGAAACAGAAAAACGGAGCTACATGACAATATACAAGTAACTTTTCTTTTCATAGTTGTTTGTATTATTGGATAAGTATTTTAGAAAAGATATAAGGCATACATGTAACATCTTTTCTTGTTCTTTGTCCAAGTTGATCAACAATCTCTCTCTCTCTCTCTCTCTCTCTCTCTCTCTCTCTTCCACGAAGAGGAAGTTACCTTTATAAACTTTCTTTAATTTTTTTGAATATGTGTTGTTTAATTTACATAGGCTTATACCAATAAATGCAGCAGATTGGTTTAGATCTTTTGAATGTAAACCCCCCCCCCATCCCTCCGTTTTTGTGCCAGATAAAAAACAATCAATTGTATATTTTTATATACTTAGAAAGGGCTTGAATAAATCTTTTTCAATGTTTTAATCTTTAAATGCATACATGTCAATGAGCGCATTCTTATTAACTGTTCTCTCCATTTCTATTTGTTCAGGTATTTACATATATTCACACGGTATGATGTTCATAAATGAATTTAGTTTATTAAAGAAATCATTAATTTACAGTAAATAGTTGATTTATTTAAACGAAAAACATTCTTTATTGTTTTCCTGACACCAGCGTTTCTTAAAATCACCTAAGATATGACATGTCCGCAGTCGTCTTAAAGTTAGGACTAAGATTAGAAAGTCTCCTAAGATAGGATAGCTTTGATGGCCTCACTTAAGACTAAGATATGTCGTAAGTTCGTCTTAAGAGATGTCTTAGTCCTAAGATAGCTTCATAAGCATGCCTGCAGGTTTTCATTTTAAATTAAGATTTTACATTCCCATCGAGTTCTAGAGCGGAAATACACGTTTTATCAGAATTAAAGAGAAACATTTTCTTCTTTTCCAAATGATTATAGTTTTTGAAAGTTCGTAAAAAAATCTATTATATCTATAGGAAAAGTCATTCAAAGATGTCTTTTGAAAAATCAGTTAGGCGATGTAAACGTACGCGGTTGCCTTCCACACTAAGACTCCTTTGTTTGTTGAACA